GGGGCCCTCTGCTTTGAAGCCAGGCATGCTGAACTTGGGCATTTTCACCTTGGGCATCTTCAGGTGCCAGTCTGGGCCTTGAACATCCACATCTGTTGCTTTAATATCTACCTTGGGACCTTTCATGTCCACATCTGGAACTTTCATCTCACCCTCTATTTTTGGTACAGACATATCCAGATTTCCTTTCACATTTGGTCCTTTAAGATCCATGTCAACATCTGGCAGAGTCATCTTTGGAGCCTTGAAGTGCATCTCTGGCATCTTAAACTTGGGGCCTTTCAACTTCCCTTCTGGTCCTTCGAGGCTCAGATCTGGGGCACTAATATCAACCTTTGGTGCAGAAATGTCCAAATCAGCCTTAGACAGGTTCACATCCCCTTCTGGGCCCTCTCCTTTGAGACTGGGCATGCTGAACTTGGGCATTTTAATCTTCGGCATTTTCAGGCTCCAATCAGGACCATGAATATCAATGTCTGGAGCACCGACATCTATTTTGGGGCTTTTCAGGTCCCCTTCCAACTTTGGCACTGTAACATCATATTCCCCCTTCGCCTTGGGACCTTTCACATGCAAATCCACGTCAGGCATGGAGATCTTGGGGCCCTTGATAATCATCTCTGGCATCTTAAGCTTAGGACCCTTCAGCTTCCCTTCAGGGACTTCAACATTTACATCTGGGACTCCTACCTCCACTTTGGGGCCTGAGACATCCATGTTGGCCTTGGGCAGGTTCATATCCACTTCTGCACTCTCTGCCTTCACACCAGGCACACTGAACTTAGGCATTTTCATCTTGGGCATCTTTAGGTGCCAGTCTGGGCCCTGAGCTTCCACACCTGGTAAATCAATGTCCACTTTGGCAGTTTTAAGTTCAACATCAGGCACTTTAATCTCACCTTCAACCCCTGGCACTGTGACATCATATTCTCCCCTTGCATGAGGACCTTTCAAGTGTAAGTCCATATCCAGCATGGAGACCCTGGGGGCTTTGATGTTCATCCCGGGCATTTTAAACTTAGGCTCTTTCAGCCTCCCATCTGGTCCCTCAAGGCTCACACCCAGAACACCAGCCTCTACCTTGGGCCCAGAAAAGTCCACATCAGCCTTGGGCAGGTTCACATCCACCTCAGGACCCTCTGCCTTGAAGCCAGGCATGCTGAACTTGGGCATTTTCATCTTGGGCATCTTCAGGTGCCAGTCAGGGCCGTGAACACCCACATCTGGGACACTGACGCCCCCTTTAGAACCTTGAACCTCTGCTTCAAGCTTTGGTACTGTTGCATCACACTCTTTCACTTCTGTCCCTTCAGCATGCAAATCTACACCAGGCATGGAGATCTTGGGTGTCTTCAAACCCACTTCAGGCAGCTTAGTATCAGGGCCTTTAAGTTTCCCTCCAAAACCCTCCATGTGGAACCCTGGTGCTTCCACGTTGACCTTTGGCCCTGAAACACTGGCATTCCCTTTGGGCACAGTCACGCCCACATGCGGGGCATCCCCCTTGACTCCTGGAATGCTGACCGTGGGCATCTTCAGGTTCCACTCTGGGCCATGAATCTCCACATCTGGGCCGCTGACATCCACTTTGGGACCTTTGACATCAACTTCAGGCACCTTGAATTTCCCTTCTACTTTCGGGAGTGTGACGTCCACACCCCCTTTCACTCTAGGTGCAGCCACGTTCAGGTCCACATCTGCCATGGAAATCCTACATGTCCCCGTCTTCCCAGAAGGGCCACCAAGCTTGGGGGCTGTCAAGGTCCCCTCCAAGTCTGGTGCCTCTATGTCCACTTTGGAGCCTTTTAGTGCCACTTGAGGGCCCTTCATGTCACCTTTTACCTCAGGAGCAGAAACTTTAATATCTCCTTTCAGTCTGGGGGACCTGAGGCTCAAATCCACATCTTGCATAGAGATTTTTGGTTTCTGAATAATCATTTCAGGAGTTTTCATCTTGGCACCCTTAGTCTTCACTTCCAGCCCACCAGGGACAATCTCAGGCAGGCCAACACCTCCAGGAACCCCTGGGAGAGTCACTTCCCCCATGGGCAGCGTCACGTCGATACCAGCTCCCTCTGCCTTTGAACCGGGTGAGAACTGAGGCCCCTTCAACTTGGGCACATGTACACCAGGGGCTCGCACCTCCCCACTGGGGCACATGACACTGCCCTCGACTTGGGGGACAGAGACATCCACTCCAATGCTCCCCTGTGGCTCGGCCCGCTTCAGGCCTAACTCCCCCTCAAGGGGCGGCCCAGCGACCTGGGGGCTTTTCAGGATCCCCTCAACACTGCTGTCCAGATGTGGAGCCTGGATGTTCCCCCTGATGACCACACCTGGCCCACTACCCCCAGAGACACTTAGTCCTGCCCCAGATGCCTGGCCCTCAGGCCCTGGAGAAACCGCAAACTTTGGCATCTTCAAGGTAGGAATTTTAACTTTTCCACTGTCCACCTCGGCTGCTCCAGCCCCAAGAGAAGATGGGACATTCCCTCCTGGAATGTGGACAGCTGCCCTGCCACCCAAGTCTAGGCCCTTCTCACTGACACTGATACCCGGGCTCCCCACCTTCACCCCAGGCATGGTGACCTGGACTTTCGAGGTGCCTGCACCCTGGAGCTCTGGCCCTGAGGGCAGCTTGATCACTGTCTTCCCAGGCCAGGTTTCTACATCCACTGTGGAGATTTCGGTCACTTCATGCCTTGGAATCTTGACCATGAACTCAGGGCTGCTGATGTCGATGTCCTTGGCTCCTTCAGGGGCGGTGACATCCACAGTGTAGGCGGTGACCCTTCTGGTCACCGTGATGGTGCGGCTCTGGGTCTCCCCGGGGTCCCCTGACACCCCGTCCTCTGGTCGAAGCCTTGGCTTGATCTTCGTGGCGTAGATGCGCTGGTACTCCTCATCAGCCCCGCTCTGCAGAGAGACACCCAGCACAGGTCGAAGGGAGCCCCTAGCCACTGTGGACAGGACACAGCACTGCTGCCCAAGAAGCAGGGTCCCCATGAGGCAGAGCGCCTAAGCAACAGCCCACCTCTCAGGCGAAACAAAATCATGTGAGGGACTGCAGGGAGCAAAAGCTCCAAGAGACTGGGCTGCAGGAGGTGGGAGGAGTCCGGGGCCAAGCCAGCCTGAGCCAGCCACACCCTCTGCTCTCCAGGCTCCACACTTGGGCTTGCTCGAGTAATCAAGCAGCACCCCGGTATGGTGGGGCACACCTTTAGTCTCAGCAATCGGAGACTGAAGCAGGAGGATTGCCCTCAGTTCAAGGCCCACCTGAACTACATAGTGAGTCCCTGCCTCAACACACACACCAAAAAAAAAGAACAAAAGGGCTGGGGATTTAGCTCAGTGGTTCCACTGCCTGCCTTGAAGGCACAAGATCCCAAGTTCAATCCCCCATACCAAAAAAACAAAAACAAAAAAAAGAACAAAAGCCCCCAAGGGCCCTCACAATGAAACGCCTTTGCAGAGCCTGAGAGCCGAGTGCTATAGTTAAGTTAACACTTTCACTTTAAGCACAGTTCATCTCTCCCATAAACGGGCCATGGAAGGAGCACGCCATGCCCCTGCAGGTCCGGGGCTGCCAGCCTCGGACTCAGAAACAGAGTCTGGGGCCACAGGTGGGCGCCACCTGCGAAGCCACCCCCTACCCAGTACCAGGGCCCAGGGTTCATGGTCACTGTCCCTGTGCACTGCTCTAAAGGGACCAGAAAAGACCAGATGGGGCAGCGCCAGCCCCACATCAGACCGAGCAGAAGAAACAGCCAAGCAGGGCGTTGGGCAGCACGGTGGCCACACAGGTGTGGAAGGATGAGGCAAGCAGCCCTGCAGGGCGGCTGAGCAGGGGACCCAAGCAGGCCCAGCCACAGTACTCACCAGAATCATCTCTGGGCTTTGGGAGCCAACGGCCTCATGTGCCCAGGCCTGGCCGGGCTCAGGGGAGTGGTCACCCCTGCGGTGCAGCTTCAGGCCCACAGTGTGGTGGCCCACGGTGCTCAGCAACTGTGCCACCTCCCCCGACTGCAGATTGTCAAAGTAGATGGTGGCACCCACGATCTGGTCACCTAAACAGCAAGCAATGAGCCAGTCAGGCCCATGGGTCTGGGAGCCATGTGTCGCAGCCAGGCAGGAAGCGGGCAGTCACAGGAGAACCACGTGCACACAAGCAAACTGAGCTCTAGACACACCAATCACTGTGCCTAACACTGCAGAGGTGGGGTGGACCCATCCACAGGGTGGGCAGAGGGGCGGAAGGGTGGGGCCCCACATCCTTCTGGCACCTGCAGTGCCCACCCAGGCTGGCAGGCCGCACTCACCCTCCTGGACCACGCCGGCACGCGCGGCAGGTGAATCCTGCTGCACCTCCTGCACAAACACGCCTCCGTCCCTCTGAGCGATGGTCAGCCCGTGCGAGCCACTACCCTGCCAGCTGGGCAGCAGCAGCTCCCGAGTCGTCTCCTCCTCCTTCTCCATCTGGCAGGCAGGGTGGGGACTCAGGTCAGGGTCCTAGGGGCCTCTCTCCAGGCTCCCTCACTCCACCCTGCCATGAACCCATCCCTCCTTCCAGGAAGGCCCAGCCACCAGACCCCTGCCCACCTCTGCAGGTCCTCACTCCGAGCAGACCTGGGCCAGGAGCCCAGCCCTCGACCTCGCTCCTCGTGCGTGTGGTCTGTGTCAGAATCAGTCACAAAGCCTAAAAGGAAAAAGTTCACAGTGACGCCCACACCCACCTGTGTGGGGCCCTGACAGCTGCCACTGAGGGGTGCCCAGGTGCTAGGCCCGGCCCAGCCAACCCCAGCCCACGATGGCCACAGTTCACGATGCTACAGCCTCTGGTCAGAGAAAGCCTATCTCTAACTCTGGCCTGGCACCTTCCAGGCAGTGGGGCCCTGGCCAAGACAGTTGACTCCCTGAACCCCGTTTCTGCCTCCATGAAACTGGAGCCGATAAGAGGCTCTCCTGGGGATACAGGAGCTCGTGACTGCCAGGTTCCTCGGGCCACCACCAGGAGAGAAGGCTGCCACTGGGCACAACCTAGGACCTGGAGGCAGCTCAGACTCCATGACCCCCCACGCCATAGCAGCATCTCTAGCCAGTGCCCAGGCCCTGCACACGAAGCTCCCTGATCGAAGGACGTGCATGGGACTGGCGGACACCTGGGGAAACACCGAGTGGGACCCTGGGCAAGGCCAGGAACTGCAGCCACCCACACAAAATGACAGCAAGGCCAGCAAATTCTCGCCTGAGAAGCTGTGTGGGTGACACTGTGACACAGCGGACAGCCTCACCCAAAGCCCCACCCCAAGGCTGTCGATATCCAGACATGAGTCACCCAATGGGCGGTGCACATGTGACCCCCACCCACGTGTCCAGCGCTGTGCCAGACTCCACAGAGGACCCCAACTGGGGACAGACACAGCCACCCAGGTCAACCTGGCAGCCTCTAGTCACTGAGTGCAGCAAAGCGACAACCCTCAGACCCTGTTCCAGACCTATGCCATAAGCAGGGTGCTTTCCCTGTGACTGGCTCAGCCTCAGAATCCCCCAAACATGAGAGAGCACCCCAAGGGAACAACCTAAAGGAGGCGCTCATGGTGCTGGAGTGTGAGCTGGGTGTGGTGATCCATGCCTGATCCCAGGAATCTGGGAGGAAGCTGAGGCAGGAAAGTAGAAAGTTCAAGCCCAGCCCGGGAGAACCTGTCTCAAACTCTAAAACATGTGTAAAGACTGCTGGGAATACAGCTTAGTGCAAAGGCCTGGGTTCAATCCACAGTGCCAGCCTCAGCCAGACCCTTACCAGGCTTAGCACAGGCACAAGATGGGCAGTCGTCTGACCACCCCAGGGGGAAATGTTCAGTGCTGGCTGAGGAGCCTGCCCTGCAGGAAGGACTGGAAGCCACCGCGCAGGGTGCCCGGGGCCCCATCATCCCCCTCAGCAAAGGGGACGCAGCTGGCTGCCCCCCATGACCCCCCTCCCGAGTCATCGCGCTCAGCTGCAGGTCACAGAGGGCACCCAGAGTTGGCCCAGACCCCAGGACACTGGCATCTCCACGGACCCCAGTGGGCAGGGAGCTGAGATGGAAACCATGCAAGGCAGGAGGCCCAGCCCACTGTAGAGACCGCCTGCGCCTGCAGCATCCATGCACCCAGTCCTCCAGCTGCTGCGCTACATACACACACACACACACACACACACACACACACACACACACACACACACTCACGATCTCCTCCAGGCTGGCAAGCTGAGCCAGGCAGGAGAGGCTACACCCTGTGGTCCGACTGTGGGACTCCACATGCACACAGGGTCACTCTCCATGGTCCCCATTGGGGAAGAAACCTTGGGGCCATGCTGGCCTGCACGGTGGCCGCAGGTGGCTAAATTTAAGTGAAGCAAATAAAACTCAGTTCCTTGGTTGCACTTGCCAGGGTCCAGGTGCTCGATGGCTACCTGCACCTCCAGCTGCCGCAGGCAGAATCGTCCTCAGCCCAAGCTGTCCACACAGACGAGACTGCAGTCCAGACACAGGAGGACCAGAGCCTTTGATGGCCCCTGGCGAACCGAGAGGGAGAGGCAGAGACCACCCCAGCTGCAAGCGAGGAGACGCAGCCCCAGACCTCATGCTGAGTCGGCATGGATGCAGGAGCAGGGCTGCCTCCAATCCCAACCTGCAAAGGGGGTGCCTGCCCCGCAACAGGGGTGACGCCCAGCAGACCTGGGGGACACTGGGAGCGGGGGTCACTCGCTCGAGGTCCTCACAGGAGGCCAGCACTGCGGCCGGTCTCCCAGTTCCACAGGGAGCAGCTCTTCCTCCCTGGCAGCTGAAGGCAAAGGAACTGAAACCCCCACACCCCAAACCCACAGCGCCGAAGCAGGAACACAAGGGTGCACTGCCCTGGGGGGGACACAAACAGCCCAGCCGCAGAGGGAGGACAGACACCCCGCATGCACCACAACCACACACAGGCCGGGACAGGCTGTCCCCACCCGGGACCGCTGCATGGGAGCCCCACACACCACACGACAGAGGCAGGCAGGCCACACTCCCACCAACCCTGGCACAGATAGGAGCACACATGCACCTGGAGGAAGCTGCACACACGCTACACACTCACTCCACGCCCCACACTGACAAAGAAGATGCAGAGCACTGTGGAGTGAACCGCCCTGCGCTGGTCACATCCACACGGAGGCCTCACCCCTACCCCAGCAGCCCTTCGTGGTGGAGACGGCACCTCAGTAATGGGAACTAGAGCCCAAGGCGATAGGGCCCAGTGAGAAGGCCAAGAGCCTTTGCCCAGGCAGGAACACACAGCGCAGGAGACACCTGGGAGCCATGCGGGAGGGGTCCCCAGAGGCAGGACCGTGAGTGTCCCAGAGCCCAGCTCACCGCCAGCCTCCTCAGGGGCCCACAGGCAGGGAACAAACCAATTCTCCCCTCTAGGAGGGCACCAGACCCGGCCTGGACACAGCCACCAAAGTGAGCATGGCCACTCACCCCAGAAGCCTGAGACCATGGGGGCACCTCCCCCACAACCTGGCCTCCAGATGGACTCGGCCCACGCAGCTGTCAGGTGAGCAACATGCTCGGCTCCACCCAGGCAGAAGTGCGTGCGATCTCCTGAGGAACCTTCGCACACCCACGACACCTCCGATGATGGCAACAGTGACAAACTAGGGTCACAGGGAGCCCTAGACCAGCACACAGAAAATGCCCTGGGGCCGCTCAGACACACGGACACCGCAGCCCCACTGCCCGAACCGTGGGCCACAGCCACACCTTCACCAGCTCACAGACACCCGTCACTAGCTCTTGTCCCTGGGGCCTGGCTCTGACTGTCACCTGCCCTGGGAGGGGAGGAAGGCCCAGACGCCTCCTCTGAGGCCCCAGAAGCCCCAAGCCAGGCCCTCACATCCAGCGGGCAGGGAGAATCCTGCTCGTCCCGCGGCCCTCGGGGCCTCCACCACCCCTGCCCCCCTTGGGACAGCCTGGGGGCAGCGGGTCAGGATCCAGCGGGAGGCCCCGTGGCTGGCCACAGACACCGACTCTAGGCCTCTCCAGGGCGAGGGGACGGGGACACCCTCTTGCGTGGAGGGTGGACAGAGCTTTGCCGACCCTAGGGCAGAGGGCAGCTGGGGTCCCGCCCTGGGCCCCACCCAGGCCTGGCTTGGAGCAGGGCCGCGCTGCCCCCAGTGGCCAGGCCACGCCAGTGCAGGGGCCCAGGGGCGCCCCCGGCCCGGCCCGGCCCGGCCCGCTCCAGGCTCTCCCTCCCCCAGCCTCCGGTGGCCTGAGCCCGCAGGATGCCCCTCCCCTCGGCGGACTGGCCTCTCCGCCCTTTGCAACTCGGGGAGCGCCCACGGGCAGAGCACACGGCCACTGCCTGGCCTCCAAGCCCGGGGTGACCACGTAAGCGACACACACCCAGCGCGACACCTCCTGGCAGTACAGGAACCTCACCCCAAGCCCAGGCTGGGACTCGGGGACTCAGGGCCACAGCCAGCCGGGCGCTGGGCGCTAAGGGCCGCAGACACAGCCACTGGCCCGCCGCCCCTCCAGGGCCGCCCCTCCTGGGCCACCCCTCCTCGGACCTCAGTGCCGCCTGCACACGGACAGCCCAGCCCGGCGCAGAAGGCAGAGAAGCGTGGGAGCGGGCACAGCGCTGCCGCAGCCGGAGGGGACTCGCTCTCCCGGTCTGCCTGCCTGTCTCCAGGCAGTTCCCAAGTTCTAAAGGACGGGGGACCACACCCAGGCCCACACACCTCCTCACCCCGGCTCTGTCCAGCCCCACAAACCAGCTCCTCAGGCTCGGCTTGGCCAAGCGTCGCTCCTATATCGGAGCCTCCCCGGGACCAGCGCACGGGCCCCCAGCCCCCGCCTGCTGTCCTTGGCTCCCCCGGACCTGTGTGCACCCCTGAACGGGGCAGTCCTCAGCGCAATGGGGTCAGCTCCTCAAGGAGACCCAGGACACCCCAGGCACGAGTGTGGCCTCGGTGGCTGCCCGTGTTCCCTTTTGGGGGCAGGCATGGGAGCCCGGGGCACTGGTGGCCCTCACCGCCCACCGCCTCAGCTCCTCTCCAGCCGCCCTCGGCCACAGCAGACAGGTGCTCTCCGAGCCTGGGCTCCCGGGCGCCCCAACTGCAGGCTCTCACCGAGCGACCACGCCCTGCGGGGACTTCCCTCCCTCCGCGCGGGTGGGGACTGGGCCCGGCTGCGCCTGGAAACACTCCCGCCAGGGACCCCCGAGCCGCGCACGCCACCGCCTGCCCCTGCCGCGCCCCCGGGTCCCCTTGACCCCACGGCGCCGCGGGCACGCAGGGGCCCACCCAAGACCCGGGAGCGTTTCGTGGGCGCCGTCGACAGCCACTCGGGCGGATGCGGGAGCCACGCGGGGTCCTCAGTGCGCAGTCTCGGGTCGCGCTCGAGGGGCTGCACCCCACCCACGCACCCCGCGCGGCCCACGGCGGCCACTGTGGAGGCCAGCGGCGTCGGGGTCAGGGCGGGCCCCGCGCGGGCTCGCGACTCTGTGGGCCCCGTGGCCCAGGTCCGCGCGGGCTTACATAACCGCCCCGCCCCGCCCCGCCCCGCCCGCGGTCTGGTTTGAATTAGTCACCGCGCATTCCTGGGGGGCGGGCGCGGGCTGGGGTCCGCCCGCGCCCCACCCCCACCCGCTGTCCGCCAGGCCCGACCCGGCCCGGCCCGAGGTGCAGACTTCGGGCTCCCGGGACCAAGGAGCCCCGCGGCGGGGCCGGGCCGAGCCGGTGTCGGGGCCAGAGTGGGGCGGCGGCCGCCGAGGAAACTTCCCAGGGCGCGGGGACCCCGCGGGATAGCGCCCCGCCGCGCGAGAGCTCACGGTCGGGACCGGGACGGCATCCGCCCGACTAAGGCGCAGCAGCCCCGCACGCGCCCCCTCCCCGCTCGCCCCTACCTGGCTCGGCCTCCGCGCGCCCATGGGTCGGCTCGGGCTCGGGCTCCGCGGCCGGGCGGGGCGGGAGGC